CCTGATCTCATCCAGAGCAACATTTTTGTTGTTGTTTCCCCAAATGAAAAACATTCTCAAAGGAAAATATTTTGTTGATATGGAAGAGGTGAAACAAAACATGGCAGAAGCACTTAAAGGCATCAAAATTGATGAGTTCAAAAACTGTCTTGAGCAGTGGAAAAAAGTCTCGATAGATGGATTGCATCAAATGGAGAGTACTTTGAAGGTGACTGACATTTAAACATGTAAGAATAAATACTCATTTTTTTATAGATATATTCCGGGGTGAGGTGGGTTTGGGTCCCTTTTCGTGCATATCCTTGGATTAAACAATTCAACCTTAGAACTAATCTAGATTTCAAAAAAAATTGTTAAAATTATGTAAACAGCTGGAAGCTCTCAAAATTCAGTAAATAACGCTATTTCTACAAGTGCTTCATACTGTTTATAGGCTTAGCCTTAACTATCCACTTGTTACAAGTACCATGCCGTTGTCATAGCAACTTTGGAAAAGGTCATGACGAATGGCAATCTAAGTTGGTGGTGACTTAAAGAGATAATTTAATAATGACTGCAGTGATGCCTGCCAGGAGGACAATGTCAAAAATTAGGGGACTTGGCTAATTTCCCAGATGGTAGGCTTCATTGGGGCTTAATTTTATCAAGCTCAAACAGAATATATCTGGACATATATTCCTTTCATTCACTCCATTGTACTTACAACTTTATTTTAAAGAGTTGAGGCTGGTATGTGGGTAACATAAGCTATATTTCTATGCTTTCAGCAGTGGGTTTTTTCATTTTCTTCCAAATGTAAAGCCAGTACATATCTTTACTTTTCATGTTTATAGCCACTGGTCTAGAAAAAAAACGTATCTTTCATTTACAGCCAAAGCCTCCACTGAAACAATTATCTTACATGTAGCACATGGACAATACACACAGAGCAACTTTTCTCTCAGTCTGTCTCCTTATTACTTTAGAAAATGAACACCCTTTAAGTTTTTTCCTGACTTCTTAATGTGGAGACAAGAATGTGAACATCATTCTAAGCTTGAAAATCAAGACATGACTTTCATTTGGAAATTGTATCTAAGATACTGTTGTAAATAGTTATTAAAAAGTCATAATTATTTATTTATGTGCCATGTGTTAATTCTCTAATTAAGTAAAATAAGTGACAAATTTTCTAATGAAGGAAAAGCAAAGGGACATGCCTCCGTCTCAGAGAACACCACCCGGGAAAGGCTCCCACAGACACTTCTCCAAAACCTGCAGGTGAAGAATCACACCTCAGCCAATGTTTAGTACCATGTCTCCTTTTTCTAAAGTGTCTTATCCTAACCTCAAATCAAGATAAATAGACAGTTAACACACACACACACACACAAAATTCGGTTCTTGCAAAAGAAAAAGAACTGTCTTCAACACAGATCTTTTTAAAGGAAGCTGGGATCCAGTTCAAGAACATAATCCTAAATCCTACGAAGACAGCTGGGCTGCAGGCACAGCTGGGCCACTGATTAGTTTAGAACAATAAATTCCTCAAGAAGGGTGCTTTCCAGGTAAAAATTAAGTGCAACAGACTGTATAATTTACAGCATAGAAATAATTGAAAACATGAAAACATCTTTCAGTTAGACAGTGGGCAATTAGAAATTTCTTCATCAGAAGCATTCCAAACTGTCCTGAGAAAGTTGTGGTTCCACCATAAGGTAAACAAACAAATGAAAAATGACTTTTAAGCATGCGGCAACGTATAAAAACAGAGAATCTAGTTAATCTATTTGACCTTGTTAGGAATGAGGCCAGTAGAGAAGGGAGCATCACAGTGCTGCCCCATTTAAGCTAGTGAACAACATTTCCTTAGTCATTAATAATAAAAATGCCACTTACAAGTTGTCAATTATTCAAGACAACCACTCGACAAAGCACGAAAGTTTCAGGTGGGGTAGCGAACACAAGTTAAGCAGTAACAATTTCTCAGACGAAATGCTGAAGTTATAGCTGTTAGAAAGAGGCAGTTGGAAGGGGAGAGGACAGGGAGGAAATGGCAGGTACCCTGCATTATATCCTCTCATAGGGCAGAGAGTTAAGACACAGACTACAAAGATGGAACAGCGCAGAGACTACGTGATGTAAAGTTAAGAAAGCTAACCAATGGAAGGACTAAAAAGAAGCTAACCCTCAAACACCAAGCAGAAGAGAGGGAGAGTGAAGATGTAATAAAAGTGACCTATAGCTTTATTTCTTTTTTACAGTGGAGGAATCAGACATTGTCTAAAGTTCAAAAGATGGAGGTATATATAGTTAAGAAATTAATCACTAAAACTTAAAAAAAAGAGGTCTTTTTGAAATATTGACTGTAGTGATGGGAATGGATATGAAGATTGGTCAAGAGATTGTAATTTATAACCATAGGTTTCTGAATTATTTGATTTTCATAGTGTGTATATCTTTATTTTTTTTAATTCAGAGACTATACTCATTGAATTCAAATCACAAATGTATTACTAACTTTAAAAAACCTATTCTGATGCCTTGGCTGGTGGCTCAGTTGGTTGGAGTTGTCCTGCACACCTGAAGGTTGAGGGTTTGATCCTTCATCAGGGCGCATGCCTAGGTCGCAGGTTTGATTCCTGGTCAGAGTGTGCATGGGAGGCATCTGGTGGACGTTTCTCTCTCTCTCCCTTCCTGTCTTTCTAAAATAAATAAATAGATTCTCAGCTGAGGATTTAAAAAAAAAAACTATTCTGATGTAAAGGTAAGTTTTTAAGTTATATTTGTATCAGAGATAGACTACACATTGATTGGTTTCAAAAGACTTCTCATTGGCCGGAACTTAATTTACTCTGAAGAGCCGCAGTATCCATAGAGTAGACTTCCTTGGCTGGCGTTTGAAGCAAAAAAGCACAAAACGATTCATCATCACCATCCTTTCTGGGGCACCAGCCCCTTCAAAGTATGTGGCTTTTGGCCAATCTACTCCCAATAAACCTTAAAAAGTGACAATGCCAGAGAATTCAAACACTACATAATACAAAATTGAGATGAATGCTTAGGTATATACAAAGTCTAATCCACAACTGAAGTTGCTTCCTTACAGTTTTTTTAATAACTTTTTTCAAGGAAAATGTTCCTCTTATGAGAAACAGTTCTCATAATCATAAGTCTTAAAATATTCATGTGACAGAAAAGAAAAAAGTGAAAGAAAATCCATATGTAGGAACATGTTGTGTATAAAGTTTGATCTTAAATAAAACTATTATATATAACCTAGAGTGTTGCCATCAAATATTATTAAACAAAAAATTCTTATGTGTGTGTGTGTGTTACATGATGCACACACAATCTGACACTGTAAGTATGTTAAGGTTTGGAAAATTTGAAAACTTGGCCATTAAATGTATTTCTTAAAATTTTTTTAACTAAAAAGAGATTTTTGCTTCCTGTTGTGGTATATCAAATTCTCTCTCTTTTTCACCTTATTCATGATCTGGTGCACATGTATGCAAATGCAAGCTTTTTGGTGCAGATTTACCAAAGAGCTCCTGTGTCCTTAATGTGACCAAACACTGTTTAGAAGAGAGCTTTGAGGAGTTAGAAAGACAGCAGGCTTTCACAGTCAGAAATCAGGAGGGGTCTTTTCTCCTGCCAGTCACCAGTCCTAGCAACTTAGGTGCTCACTTAACCTTTCTAAGCTGCAGTACCAGCTCCTGAAAATAAGTTTAATATCTGTTCTACCTCCTGAAAGTCTTTGCATGAAAAAAAGAAACAATATTTGCTGAAGTGCTTTGAAAATAACAAAATGACATGTAAACTGTAATAAAAATGTTATTATAGCAAAGAGCTTATTTAGTATATAGTAAGAGTTATATCTATCAAATGAGAGACAGATAATTTGAAAGAGAAATTAAAATATAAAGAAATAAGGTCTTTGTCTAGCATTGATTAAAACAGGCACTTGAGAAATCCAACACAAGAAGTTCAGCACTTGTAAATCCTAGGTTATTTTCATTAGGATATTAAAGAACATCAACTTTTTATCATACAAGGAGAAAAGAGAAAACCACTGTATATTTCTATCATCTCCTGCCAAGTGCTGCAGTAACTAAGTGCTGGAAAATCAGGCTGTCTGAGAGGTAGAGATGAACATGATATTCACTCACTCCAACTTTCTCTGATCAATGGCAGTCAAAATCTGGCTGTAGAAATTGTGTCTTGGACAATGTTAGATTCTGTGATAGGATATGTAAATCTTACCATCACAAGTCTTAAAAGCAGAACGCTGTAGCTTAGGCTAGTGAAATGGGAAATATACTTAGAATCCAATGAAGATACCTTTTTTTTTATTTTTAGTGCTTACTCTAAAAATTTAAACATGCAAATATAACTTACCAACATTTAAACTTATTCAGTGGTTTTACTGACCTCTGAACAAAGATCTTTAACTCTGATGGCTCCTTCCCACCATATATGCTATTTTGTCATGCATTTTGGTTTTAATTTGATTGTTTCATTTTTTTTTTAATGATTGCTATTACCTTACACAGTCAATGAAGGCTTAGAATTATTTATGTTTTCTTGGATCATCATTCCTTCTTGCTATTCAGATCTCCCATCTGGGATCACCTTCCTTCTACCTGAAGTCAACCTAAAGAGTTTTTTTCTTGTTGAGGCAAACTCTTTGGTATTTTTGTTTTGCTTACCTTATATTTGAAATATATTTTCACTGAGAATAAAATTCTAGGTGATAATTACTTCCTCTTAGCTCACTGTAGTGGTCACTTGACTGTCTTCTAGTTCTTTTTGTTTCCAATGAAGAGCCAGCTATGAGTCTAATTGTAGATAGAGTAACTTGAAGATAATTTGTTTTATTCTCTCTAGTTGATCTTAAATATATCTCTTAATTTTGGCATTCTCCAGATTCACCATAATGTTATCGGGTTTATATTTTGTGGATATTTTTAATAGTTATTATTGCTACCAGTTTATTTTTTTCTTCTTCTTCCTTTTAGTGTGAGAAAGGCAATGTGCCGATGTTGTAACAAGGTATGATGGGGCACATCTCACACGAGTGTGGACACCCAGTTATCCCGCTTATGAACTGCAAAAGGATGACCAGTTTCTTAAACACCTTTCTCCACAGCTAATCCTTGAATTTACAAACATGTTTATGAAAGGGTTTCAAGAAGAAAATAGTGAAAAGTGACAGTCCTGTTGAGAGACTGAAGAAGAACATGTCAGAAAAACGCTCATTGGCTTTGGAAACATGGAAGTTGCTGGTGACTTTGACAAGTTTCAAGACAAGGAGACATCAGGTGAGAGTGTGTTGAAAAAAAAAACACAGAGCAGGTTTTCTAAACTGCTTGGCTTGAGTAATTAAATGAAAACTTACATTTATATTTCAATTATACTTTTAATAGCAATACATCATTATGAAGTTAAATAATTAATGAATCATTTTAAGTTCATCAAGCTTTTTCATAAAGGGCAAATCAAGAAATTACTCTTAGAATGTCAAAGAGCTTGTGAGAAAAATAATTAACATTGATTAAAAAATTAAAACAGACATACCTTTCCTAGCCAGTAATAAGTCACATATTCATAAATATATGAAGAGACTATTTACTTTAAACTAGTACTTCATGAGGCCTTCTCCATCCATCTTTTTTTTTCTCATTCTGTGTGTTCTTTTGTTATATTTTTCAATTCACTCAATGGTTTCAACTACCTGCTTTCCTCTGAAGCCACAGAATTCAAATCTCCAGTCTCTCTCCCTCCTATGAAACAGAACCACAGCAAAAATTCTCTGGTAGATAATACTATTTTATTCCATATTCATATGCCTATAAATTCAATATATTCACAATTTAACCCATTTTCCCCACCAAACCTAGTGTCTCATCCCCATTCCATAGCCTCGTGAGTCACATTGTCTTTCATCTAGTTGCCCAAGACAGAACCCTGGGAGCTAACTCTGACTCCACTTAACCAATAGCGATTATCAAAACGTGTTCACTCTACCTCCTTCGTACCTCTCAGATAAGTCCTGTATAACTCTATCGGACTCCATCGTCATCGCCTGAACTCAGTCCTTCTTCGTTTCTGGCCTGGATAACTGCAGTCACTTCCATTATTTGACTTTTAAAAACATTTTTAATATGTTGCCTAAATGGTCTTTCTATGACTTAAGCCTAAACACATACTTGTCTCCTCAAAAGACTTCACTTCTGCCAGGTTAAGGTCCAAACCCCTCAGCATGACAAGGCAGCCCCTCTGCCCTCTGGCCCTTTACCTCCCATCACCTGCACATGTGGACACGTGTCCCCCACTGTTTCAGCTGCCTGGCCTGCCCTTCTTCTACTCTTGTTGCACCACTGACTAAATATTTTTAATATATCCCTGAAAGTAACAAAATTTTCTTCAGGGAAAATAGAGACTTGACAACATATGTCATAGAGCTTTATAAATGCAGCAGCACCATGAAAATATGTTTGATTATTTTTACTAAAAGCTTTGATGAGTGTATCAGGTCAAAATTACCCATAGTTAAGCATTTGCCAATAGGTTTTTTCAGAAAGAGTTTACACTCTTTGGGGCCTAGGTCCTATGTTTCACAGCATGACAATGGTAAACAACTGACAGTTTAAATCTCCTTAGCCCACGAGGACAAGAGTCAGCATTAACCTTAGATATGTGAAGCAGATTGAGAATCCCCCAATGGCCTGATCGCAGTTCTAGGATAATGGGAGTGTTAAACTTCTTCAAAACTAAATGTATTGCAAATGGATTCTGTAGCAGTTCAGCCATGAAAATGCTTTTCAGAGCTTCTGAGAATCCTAACTGAAAATATTTACAGGTTGGTCAGCAGCTCAAGACTTATAAAGGCTTCCTTTCCCTTTATTTTGGGAAAGAAATTAATGATAGAAAGGGTATGTATTCATTTGTATGCATCTTTCGTACTACTAACCCTCTCCCAACTGCATTTACACCCTATTCCAGAATTCTTTTTGCAGGCATGTGGGATGGTTATGTGGAGCTGAGCCAAGCAGAAGCAAGTGGATTTGAGCCATGGGGTTGAGTGGTTGTTCCGAAAAGACCAGATAAAGCTGTTGAAATATTTGCAGAGGTGGATTTCTTGTTGCTTTAGGATATAAAATAATCCAAATAATTTCAAGGTATTTATTCCTTAATATTATTCCTTTAAATTTTCTATATTGTTTAGAATCTAAAGATTTTTTTCAGGTCTGTTCAGATATGCTGAACAAGAGTAGAGTTATGTTGTTAAAATTAAAGAAATATGATCCCTTCAAAAGTTAATATAAATATTATTTTAAAAATTCACCTGTGACATTCCTGGATTAGTTTTAAGTACATAAACAAGTTTTTAGTTCTAAAAACAATAACACCATATCATAGCAGCATAAACTTACAGAACTTGCCTCTTCTTACCTTGATGCTTTTTGTTCTTCCCTAAAGGAATATTTGTCTATTCTATAACTCTAAAGACCTGAAATAAGTCTAGTTTTGAATGTGAGAAATCATTAATTTAGATAAAATATTTGTAGACATAACCTTAACCAGCTCTTCTGAAGCAGACTATTCAAGCTGCTTAAGAATTGAGGGCAAGTGGGAAAAAGGTAGAATTATACTAGGTACAATAAATGTTTGGTATCGATGATCTAATCATTAACTAAATAAACTGGCATTAAAAATGAGGTATCATTATCCAATAGACTTTGGTCTCATCCTGGAAGTTATCTAGTGACATTTCCTGTAGGAGCGCCTACAGAATGCCACGTAAATCCTAATGGAGAACAATATTGAGTATAACATAGTCCACATTTTCCCAACTAGGAGAGCCCCTTAAAAAAATTATGTATCCCATTTGAATTAAGTAAAATAAATAAAAATCCACTTATAACATTTATTAAACAGAATATTTAACGCAATATTAACACACTTTTTCCCACTTTGACATTGCACCAAGTGATTTATTTAAACATGCACATTTGACATCGGAGCCTTTATCATTACCAATTAAAGTTTTTGAGACATCCAACAGAGTTGCCCAGCATATATATTTTCATTTCCAGCTAAGTTGTTAGAAATGAAGCCTTTGGAACTGGGAATGCTGTCACTAGAAATTCTATCTCAGGCCACAGTGAGTTTTGCATAACACTAGTATTTTATAAAGAAATTAGTTCCATAGGTTTTTATTCATAATTTCTACAATGTTACTGTGTCCTGTGACATGGAACATCCACCCAAGAGTATACATGTGCCACAAACACCCAGGAATAACTGCTGTTTCAACACCAATATTTCTGCTCTTACTTTTACCGATTTTACCAGATGACCTTCTAGAGTAAGGGTTAACTGAGGATATTTCATGATACTGTTTTATTCTCCAACAATACTTTAGTTTTTTCAAATAAAATAATTGAAATAGTTCCTATAGTAAGAAATTTTACAAAGATGTGAATATAATACAAACATTTTCTGATCGATGTTGCCAAAAAACTTAGATTTGGACATATAAATAATTTATTATATGATAAAAATTGTTATAAATATAGGTTTCCTGACAACATGTAAATTTGTATTTTTATATCTGGTCAAAGCAGCAGTTGAATAAATTGACCATTTTTTTTTTGTTCCACTACCAAACTAAATTCTAAACAGCCTTCATATCCAGGTCCAATCTTGCTTTGCTTCATAAATATTCCCAATTTCAGACCATAGTGATCTTTCCCTTCTGAGAATTCCTATACAATGTTCTGTTCATATTAATAATTTATAATTTATGCTGTCCTATATTGCTTTCTAGCTCTTTTATGTTAGCTAAGTTTATTTCCTCCATTTTCTTGATTGATATCTTATCTTATACTCCTTTTTTATGCTATAAACCACTTACCATAATGTTTTTCATAGCAGAATTACTCAATAAGTGCTCATTGATTATGACCCATATCTAGTCACTTTCAGAAAGGGGGAGGGAGGGAGGTAGAAGTAGAAAATGTGTAAGGGGGATAAACAATAATAAAAAAATACAATAAAAAAAGAAAAAAGAAGTAAACATCTTTGATTGGCTTGTATACAAATGATTATACAGATTAATTGAGGCCACCCAGATCCACTTTACAGAAAACCAAATGAGGCTAGAATGAAATCAATAGAATATTATTCAGACATAAATAAGTTCTTGTATCTCCATTGCTGTGATAAAAATGGCAGAATAAGATATCAAAGAATATGGCATATTTAATATTGAATTAGAAATCACAATACTTTCTCTCTTGTTTCTATTAAAAGTAAGGAGCTTCTGAAACACATACCCGGAAGACTTTGTTGGCTAAAATGCAAATTTATCAAGTGTCACTCTTTCCCCAATTATTTTTTCTGGAGCAGATGACGGTTGAATACTTTTCTTCATATATTTTAATTCTAGACATAATATTTGATCTTTGCAAAAATACACTCGATGCAATAATGGTATTACTAACAATTCTTTTACATCGCTATAAGACTGGAAATTACTGTCATTTAAATAAGGTCTGTAAAAGTTTTGAATCATAGTGAACAATCCATATGTCAAAGAATCCTATAAATATTTAGATTATTTCAAGAAGGCAGGTCATTTCCATAATGTTTTCCCTTCCCAAAGAAGGTTAGAGTACAAAGTCTGAGGAGCTTGTCACTGATATTACCACTAACTTTGCCCCCAGCCAAGAAGGGAGATAACTTCCTACTGGACCATTCTGTAAACTGCTCCCTTGCAGTATACAAATTCAACTAACTGATTACTAAAAAGCTAATTTAGAATTATTAAATATGATATGGTTGGTCTGTTGCTGCTGTATATTTTAATAAAATTGGTTTATAAGTTAACTCCCTTTTTAGGAGCTACATGATATTTATATCCACGCATGAACTTCAGAAATATCCTTCTGTAATTTTTATTATTTTTACTTTTTTCTGCAACCTCTTAATAAATAACAGAAAACTAAACATATATTTTTCTAGTTTAATTTAAAATCATATTAGATTTCAACTCTTGACATGTTATATAAGTATATATACACATAATTATATATGTGTATATAATTATTCTCA